CGGACTGTGGACTACGGACTGTGGACTGCAGACTGTGGAGTACGGACTGTGGACTGAGCCCCTGGAGTCACGGGCCACAATATACTTCTCCTTCTTCAAACTGTGGATATTGGGTTTTGTGATCATCGCTACAAAATCTGACTAATGAGAAAGAAAAATGAAATCTGACATCACATCTATTCTTCTTGAGGTGATCTCTGGGCCCATGCTTGCCTTCCGAAGTGTTCACTTCACTCTGAGAGTACTTGTATTTCACGGGATGATGGGAAAGGAAGGCAGCCTCTCTGAAGGCACAAGTGACCCTTGTGCCCGCTGCCCAACCCTTTGTGTAGATGTCCTTGGTGCACAGCACCTTCCCACTCTACACATGAGGAAACTAAGGGTCTGCCAGGTTCATGGCTGCTCAGTGGCATGCAGCCAGTGGAGGCTGGCAGAGCTGAGGTGGGACCAGGGCTCGTGAGGCCCAAGACTGCTCCCCTCTAGGCCTGCTCATCCAGAGCTTGGCACTCACCGCATTGAGACCACAGAGCTGGTAGCAGGCCATGGTGACGAGCACAGTGATGACCTGGCAGCGCACAGAGGGGTCCCTCAGCAGCTCCAGGACCGACACCAGGCGGATGTTCTTCTGCACGCGGCTCTCGGCCAGGACCTCCTCCATCACTTGGGAGACATCTGCTTTGCCCAGGAACTTCTGGAAGGCTGTAATCAGGACATGGTTAGGATGTCTGCCATAGCTAAGGCTGGCCCTGAAGGGACGGAGCTGCCACCTTGTCAGGGGACAATGAAACCGTGGATCCAGAGCCCTGCCTAAGGTCACCCAGCCATCTGGGAGACAGCCAGGGTCTTATCACCTCCATGGCCAAGTGGAGTGGGCCCAGGGTTTGAACCATGTCTACCAGGAACAACTGGGTTCCCGTTTGTCCTTTGCGATTCCTGCTGCCTCCACGGCTGCTATAACAGTTCCACACCAGGCACAGACTCAGGGCATCCCACATGCAGGGAGCACTCACGGGGCCCCGCTCTCCGCCTGTGCCTCACTCTGCTCAAGCTCAGCGCCTGTCCAGAGGGGCTTGCGGTCCTCCTTGGCCAGAATCCAAGGGGATGCCGGGAATTGGAGCTGTCACAGGCAGGAAGATTGAACTTACTTTCAGGTCTTTCCAAGTGTCCCTCAGGAACACACAGGACCCCAAGAACAGAAAACATCTCAAAGAGCTATCTTCCCAAGGCTCAAGTTTCTCCTCAAAATTCACACCACAAATTTCCATCCTCTAAAACCCTGCACATTTGACTGAGACCTTAATTGTGTAACCTCCCTTCCCCCACCCAGGAGCGCCCCAGGGGGGCTGCCTGATCAGACCTAGTTCATTATCAGGCGAGGGCACAGGTTTAAATATTCAGCTCTCTGACATCCTTCCTCCTACAGGGAAAGAAGGCTGGCCGACTCCACCACGCTGGGGAGGGGCGCAGTCCCCCCCCAGACCCAGCAGGCAGCGTCCTTAATGGCGCTGCTGCACACCCCAGGGCGCGTGAAGTTGTTCATCTTAAATGGGGGGGGGGAAGCTGTTAAACTTGCTCCTGCTTTGCCTTAAGGCTCTGGAGTGTTCTTTCCAGCAGTCTCCCAGAAATTGCGAAATGTCTCTTTGCAGCGTATGATTTAATGCTTTCCCGGCATGGACTAAGGTTGAGGACAGGAGCCGCTGGAGGAGTCACGGCTCTGCGCCACACACGGCCCTGGGGGCGGGGGGCACGTCCTAGCAGACAGCTGCTCCCCACAGTGCCCTCATTAGGGGCAGATCAGAGGGGCACCAACAGATCCCACCGGGCAAGACCGAGATGGCTGGCGCTGTAGAGCCATCCCATGCGTATCATGTACTACGCGCTCGAGGAATGTTCCCCGACAGTACGCTCGAGACGCCTTCTGACCATGTTACATTTACCGCATGCTGAAGAAATCTCCACATTCTGGTCCCGCGTGCAACCCTGGCCCACGCCCCGGCGCGCCGAGCCTGCTGCGGAGTCCGGGCGTGGCGGCACGCCAGTAATCCCAGCCTCGGGGAGGCTGAAAACTGAAGGATCACTATTAAGTCCGAGCTGCGTAGGGAGACCCTGTACCAAATACACAAATGAAGAAATTCCCCACTGACCTGCCCCCTTCCCAGAACAAAAGCTAAGGCCCTGTTTGGCCGAGATCACATCGATCAGTAAAATAGGTAGTTTTAGAACTCAGCTACTCTTGCAGGTGCGCGCAGCCCAGAGCAGGCGTGCGCGCTCCAGTGCGCCCTCTTGCGGCTCGCTCTGCTGTCAGGACGCCGTTGCCTCTGCCGCTCCGCTTGCCCCACCTCGGCAATCTCTCACTTCCCATCACATCAGCCTTGACTCCCCATATTCTGCTAAGAGCCCCACTTATTCTTCTGCTAAGAGCCCCACTTATCTCTTCTGCAGAGACCCAGGAGAGGTGGGGGTCATTATAGGGGACCTCTAGCGTCCCCCAGCAGGCCCTTCACTAGGTACAACACACACCAGGCTCAGAGAGCTCCGGTATCTTCTTGGAAAGTCGAGCCTTGCGAACAGGCCCAGGCCTCCGAGCTTATTCAACCCCATTCTTGTTTTGCAGGCGCATCTCCAGGTGATGCCACAGCTTAGGGCTTCCTGGTGAACTTGGGGGACGCAGTGCAGCCCCCAACACCCTCTGGAGCCCCTGTCCTTCACTGTCATAGGCCACTGCTCCCTGCTCTCTGCCAGTTGAGTCACATCCCCAGAAATAAAGACAGGTGGGGGTTTTGACTGGGCCCAGCTCGCAGCCCTGAGGCTTTCCAGATTTGTGGTTCCGCTGACTGTGCCTGCCAGACTCAGAAAGAGCATCAGAAGTTGACCATGGCCTGATTTGGGCGCTCAAATACCCAGCAGAATTCTAAGTCCTGCAGGCAAAAAGTACAGAGGTGGCAGGCAGGAAGAAGGGGACAGGTCATGGAGACAGGCAGGTCTTAGAGACCGATGTATGGGGACATGACTGTGGCCTGTCAGGAGTTGGAAATCCTTCCTTGGGCTTGAGATGGGCCCATGTGACAATGTAGTGAACCAGCAGCTGCAAAGCCCACCTGTACCACCTGTGACCACTATGTGACGTGGCGGGAACAGAAGTCGGCTCAGGACCACACTGCCTGAGTTTAGATCCTGGCTTCATCACCTCCTACTCAGCCTGATGCTGGATGAGTTACTAAATCTTCCTGTGCCCCAATCTCTACCTCGTGAAATGGACATAGTCATACAGGGGTTGTCACTGTTACTAAATGTCACTACCTGTGGTGTTGAAGATACTACCTGGCTCTGAATGAGCCCTGTGAATACACCAACACTGGCAGGTGGCACCGGCACTCACTACCATCTTCCCTTCCTTCCGTTTTTCTGTCCTTTATCATCTTCTCTTTGGCTGGATCTTGGTTGGAAAATACTAGACTCTTCTACTGGGAATTGAACTGTGTCCCAAGTGTGTGTTGAGCCCTGGTACCTGCAGATGTGGCCTTTGGAACCAGAGTACAGGGTGGTGAAGATGGAGCTGAGAGGAGTCCATGCTGGGGGAGCAGGGACCCTCATACCATGCGACTCTGGTGCCTACAGGAAGGGGAGATGAAACAGAGACAAAGAGGACAAGGCCTTGTGATGATGAGGTGGTCAGAACTCTGCTGCTGGGAGCCCATAGATTGTCCCCGAAAGCCCAGACTGGCTCCTAGGCAAGGCTTTGGGGTGGTGATTGGATCATGGGGGCACTCTAGCTGGGCATGGTGTCTGATTGGAAGAAGAGGTCACTGGGGGCATGGCCTAGAAAGGTTTCTTCCTCTCCTCAGCTCCTGCCTTCCCTCTGGGCTTGCTGGCCACCATGCTGTGAGCAGCCCTCCTTTCCCAGGCCCCTCTGCTATGCCACCCTGACTTGGAGCTAGCTGAGCAGGGACAGAAACTGTGAGTCAAACAGACCCTTCCTCCTTTAAGTTGGGGGCTGGGTATTTTGTCACAGTGACAAGAAAGTGGCTAAGACTCAAAGGACTACAGAGTCCACCCCAGCGTGGAGAGGTCTCATCATGGCCTGGCCAGCATTGGGCTTTCAGATTTCTGCTCTGCTGGACTGTGACAGAATCAACTGATGCTGCCCCGAGCCACCAACTATGGCCCTCGGTCCTGACACATCTGGTTCACACTTTATCATTCCTATGAGCATTCCGTCACCTCTTGAGGGAGCAAAGCACAGAACAATCTGGAGGGCTGGTGACAAGGTCAGTGAGGGGCCGTCACGTGGAGCATGGAGCCGTGGACCTTGGGACCGCGTCCTGACACATGGGGATTCAGGGCTTGTAGGAATGGGAGGCTGTACCAGGCACTTATTTTCTATTGTCTTTGGGTTTGGGGTGGAGCATCACTTGGTTTCCAATCAGGTTTGCTGCATTTTTATTATCCATAGCTGTGGGATCCAGAAGCAGACATTGGGGGCCTAGTTAGAGCTTTATCACACGTGACTGTCTGTGGACCTGGAGCATCTGCAGGGCCGGGGGGATGGGGTGGGCAGAGGAGACCTCATCCGGAGAGGAGCCCACATGGCATCCTCAGTCTTTCTTCTTTACTTGGGTGCACAATGATACAGTGAAATTTGTACAGCTTACTGGTTGGTGAATTTGGGACCGGAGGTCTGTGGTTTGAAGGGAATTCACCCTGAAATGTACACCAGTGGCTTATAAAGAATCCTCCCAGAGAAACCACAGATTAAAGATAAAGTTAATGGAACCAGCAAGAAGTCAGGACAGTTGTGGATTGCCACTCACCCTGGGGACAAGCCAGTCACTGGCCTCAATGGTCGATGACAGAATGTTGCCCGGCAGAGATTTAAAATGAGACACAATTAATTGATTGCCTTGAGGTCAAGATGACATTTTTAACAGGAGTGACAAAGTAGCAGCTTTTCAAGAGAGAGTATGCCGTGAAACAATGTGTGGAAATCTTCCTGTCATCATGGGACTTGGGAGCCAAAGTTATCCATGGAGGTCAAGGACGAAAAACTCTCATATCTGCCCATTAAAATAAAAACCTTCCAAACCATTTTAAAAATATTCCTGCCCACGTGAAGCATTTCAATGAGTTTTGCTAAACTGTGGTTAAAATATAAAAGGCCACACCTTCAGATGATTTTCAGAGCAACCGACACACACTGGGAAGATGGAAATTTACCAGCTATATTCAGCTCTGGCCCGAATGTCCCCCTTGTGCCTGGGGCTACAGGGCCAAAGCCAAGTGGGCTGAGTCCCCCAGCCCTGCCCTGTCCTGTGCACAGGGCTCAGAGATGTTCATCTCCAGGCTATCACCCCCAGGGCCAAGGCTCACAGCACCTGACCCGCACCCAGTTCTGCAGATGTCAAGGCCTTTTTTACAGGGGGGAGGGGAGTTACAAGCAGGACATATCATTCAGGCTGGTCTTAAATCCACTGTGTAGCCCAGGCTGGCTTCAAACTCCTAGGGAACCTCCTGCCTCAGCCTCCCAAGTGCTGAGATTACAGGTGGTGTGCATCACTACACGTGGTTTCAATGCCTTTCTTCTTCTGGTCCCCTTCAGCACCCCCCCCAGGTGAGCATGCCCCTCCTGCGAGGGAGAAGACAGAAGAAGCAGAGCCTCAGGCAGCAGTGGGGCTCCTGTGGGTGCAGCGTGCAGTGAGGCC